GGCGGGGTATATGGCATGAGAGGTACATGCCATTTTCTGAAGAATGTTCAATCAGAAAAAAGAAGGTCTGAAACCACGTCGTCCATGGCCGCAACCGTTCGCTTGTCGCACGCATGTGGCGTGATGTCCGGACCGTAAAGACAGCCTACACTGTTGCCTTGAGTGAGGACGTGTCTGAGTCAGTCTTGAAGGTGATTGGTCCGTTTAGGCAGCTGTGATTGACAGGCTGCCATCGGCACGCGTGTGCAGCTACGGACAGGAGGAGCAGTCATGTGAAAGGCAGCCGCAGAGTAGGACCACTACAGCCTAACTGGCACCGTGATACCGATCGTTCAGAAACAAAAAACGCAAGTTGAAAAGCAGGCAAGTTAGATAATTATGTTGGCATTGAAAAGCAAACATTTTAAAATTGACAAAAAACGTTTCTTTGAGTGCAAAAGTTGCAGAAGACATCTGTTACACAAAATGAGTTTAAAAGGAATAATGTATATGCTACCCCTAATGTAGGTCTCAACTTCCAAGGAAATCAGAAGCCGGCATCTGAGGTGATTGTAATATAGTTGCGAAAATTCTCATCAGAGAATTCAGAAGACTTTATAGAAGACTTTCTATAAATTCTCTTCGGAATCAACCATGTGTACCAGAATAGAGTTGTTTATGCTCCTGACTTCACCTTTTCTCAGTCATGCCGGGAGGTGTTCCTTTATTCTTTTTGATAGTTGCCGGCTCGTGCGATCGATATAACCTGCTCCACAGGATCAAGTAAAGGAGTAGATGCACATGGAGGTGGTCTGAACTGGTAACCTATACTTAGCTGCCCCATGTAAGATAGAGTTGGTTGAGGATAATACCCGAACTTTGAGTGCTGTGAAGGTTCGTGAAACGGTTTGTTTAAATTTTATTCCTCCATATAAATGTATTATACTGAAGAGAATTGATCGAAAGTGCACGTACGCTCACCAAACTGGTCTTCTGAATGAAATATCTTGGGATACTATTACGTGAACATCAGTGTTACGACTTCGCCTACGTAATCCTTCCCAACTGTCATCAAATGTCATTTCATGTGTTATATAACTTACTATGGGCTTTAAATTTCGGTTTCAGCCTGCACTTTTTGTGCTGCTGCTCAGGCCAAAAAGCCCTAGTTAGTCCCTTCCCTTTCAGGCGGCACGGGGGGAGTGGTAAAATATCCTCCAATCAGCCTTACTGTGTTTAGTAAATTATTTAGCGACTTTTTAACGATCGTCTGTGTCTCTCTCCAGGTGCGTTTGGCAACCATCGACTCGACCTTCGTCGAAAACCGCCCGATTATATTTACGACCCTCGATTACAGACTTAGCCGTCGCAATGGTAGCTCGATCGTCTTGCGCAGATATTGGCCAGGCTTTCGCCCTAGGCATGCTGGTCTGCTTCCGTTTTCGCTGGCATGGCTGATAAACAGTTCCAACTTCAGTTCGCCAAACCTGACCGGGAATCGCCCTCTGCGCACGTGCGTATAGCCAACACCATTCGACTCGCCGATGTCGTAATGCTGATCGATAGTTTTGGTCTTCATCTGTACCAACATCAGAATCATCCGCCTTGCGCAGGGGGAGGAGTGGAGGAGACTTCTAGTTGTCAAGCCTCGCTTCTCGATACGGCGAAGCCTCAAATGCTTGTAGAAGGAACTTAGAGTGAAGTTACCTGGACTGTTGGATTCAACTTCTATCCAGTGGGGGTATTCTGCGTGCATACGCGAATTTCTGCACCGAACTAAGTTAAAAACTCTCCGTCATATGTGTCGGATTCGCTGATCTTCCTGGTCTATTTGAACGACGCGTGTAAGTGCAATAAAGTTAGTCCTCGATTGACAGCGTGACCCTACATGTCCTGGAATAATTAGTCGTTCTAGTGCCTCGGGGTATTATTGCCCATGTTAGGATTGAGGATCGACTTCACAGAGTGACCTTTCCTGTGTTGTATTGATGACTGTGGTTTTCGTTAGGGATAATTACACTGGAAATTAACTAGCGGAATAGAAAAAAAGCTATATCCAATGATTCATAAAGGTTAGAGTGTGTGTGTGTGTGTGTTCATTTTCCGCCTGCATCTTCTCCTTCTAATCTCTAACTTGTCTGCAGTGTTCTAAGCTGACAGATAAAGATGTAGCGCACTTCTCGGAGCTGCAGGCTCTTATCAGCCCATGCTTTATCTTGTGCTCTGCTTAGATAAGTACCTTGGCAGCGCTGAAGACAAAAGAATGACCTGTCTTCAGAATAAGGAGGACTTTTGGTAGCTTCTCACGCAGACGCAGCCTCAACTTCTGTTCAGGTTGGCCTACCTATGCACTACTGAATCGATTAGATGTACTCAGGATGCTATCCGACGTTTATGTGATATTTGACTTCCCTGACGCATTTGCGCAAGATGGATTCCAATGTCCGAAGTTTATACACCTCACCTAAATTATCTCAATTCTGCGCACACGAAGAGAAATTTAACCACACGCGTGAGTTTAGCCTAGCTAAGAGATCGCTGTTGTGTTCATAAAGGAGAAACACTCCTTGCATCCTGACGCCCTATGCACCATCATCCTCTATTTTATGGTCTTCGTACCTCCGCGCTGACTACCCCCGAGCATAGCCGCAAGTGTAATTTTAACCACCGCGAACCGTCAGTTCTGATCAATTAAATTGCAGGCCTCCCATGGTTCTCTACTTACACAAATCGACATCGATAAACTTTGGTGTCCGTAATTAGCGAACGCGACTTTGATGGTGTGCACACGCCCCAGGGTTCCAGAGTAGCGAGGCGGGTGGTAAGGCGCCTGTCTGGAGAACACGGCCAATCGACATGGCCATCTCCTCTGCGCAAGCAGATGTTGCAAAATTCACGGAAAGTCTCGCAACATCGGCCACTAACTAACCGACACATTCTTCAAAGGTCATCTCATCCCTCGAGACTAGAGAGCGATCTACGATTGAGAACTCTCAGGGGAACAAGACCATTGACCCGATCTCCCAGGTTGTCTCCTTCGATCGCATTGCATTCTATAACAATGACTCTAACAATAACAATTAAGAGACATGAAAACGCTTTCAGGATGAGAGTTGCATATTTAACCGAAAACACAACACTTGCGGGATTGCCGAGCGCCCCATCATGACTGCTAATGTATCCGATCGCAACTATCAGGACTGTGAGCCAGTGGCTGAACGGTGAGGGCGCCGGACTTCTAACGAAAAGATTGAGGTCGCATATTATCAAAAACTACTGTTTGGAGTACTTTGCCTCCGCTGACTCTGTACATTAAACCCCAACGATAACAACAATCGATGAAGTACGGTGCCATTAAACAAATAGTGAAGAATACACGAGGTACAAACGTTAACAATGGGCAGACGTAGTCAAGAGCAAGAAAGTCGGCCAAATATAGCCTGTTTATAGACAAGGGTACGACACAGGTTCAACAAAGCCAGTCTTGGGAGAGCGTGTGTATCAGTGGGAGGGGAGGGGGGTGACCGTTGCTTTTAAATGGCTCTGGGAACCAGCTCATGTGGCATCCGATTGGTGTAAACATTTGCCCGAAGGCGGAGAATGTCCTATACAGATGCTCATGCTATGTCGGTTGGGGGAAGGGGGTGGTTTTTTCAAGTGGGCCATCAGCAGTGCGTCGGCCGGGGGAAGGGATGTTCAAGGGGCCCTCGGAGTATTTGCGGCTATATTGCACGCGCAGGCGGAAGCAGCTGCTTACCTATGCAGCGTTCCTGTGTTGGTCGAGGGGGAGGGAGGAAGGGTGGCGTATTCAAGGAGCACTTTTAAGCCATGACTGTTTGGACACACGTGTGTATTCAAATGGAAATATGTCAAGAGGCGAGGACGGCCAACATTCTTGGGGGAAGGGATTCGACAGAAACGCGGAACTAGGGAGAGGGACAGCTTTTGGAAGAGGGGAAAAATCTTATGTAGATTAGCCAGGAGGTTACTGGAGATAGATGTGGATACTTTCAAAATATTTCAGCCGGCAATAACAACTACTATCACAATTCCCGTGATTGCTTTTCAGCCGGGAAATTAACGTTCATATGGAGCTAGTGTAGGTTTACTCTCAGTCCTTAGTCCACCTACTTCTCTCATGATTTAGCAACCCTCTAAACCACGACACGTAGTGCATTGTAGCAGGTATATACGCGGT